TGTATATTCACGCTTTGCGGATGTATATTCCGGCGCAGATAAACGAAAACATGGGCGTGTGTAACCGTCGTTGCCACTTGTACATTTGCGGGGAAACATTATCGAATTCGCGCTCCGAGCAACTCCTTTGGGACGAATGAAGCGAGAACGCATTCAGAGCAGTGTTCGGCAGATATGTGTTCTAAAATATGTCAAGGTCCTGAACCTTTGCTCCTGATCGAGATCGAGAAACGCGGCCAAAACGCTGCGGATGCCATGGAAGATATGTGCAGAGCGGGCAGCGGCTTCGCTGCGACGTAACACGGTCGCTGCCTTTGGTGTATCAGAGAACGCCATTAATTTGTCGCACGCTCCCAATAGTGTCACTGTATGATAAATATAGCGTTGAAATCTTTCGAAAGCTTTCTGGGCATACCAAGCCGAATCCTTTGACCTACGTTCAACACTCGAGGCGGGCGCTCGGAGCGGACAATAAAAGACACTGACCAGAGATCTCATTATCTCACTTGTCGGAGCGAGTCGAAGCGAGAGCCCTTTGTCGAGGTTCGATGGAACGGAATGCCGTAGCGCAGGCGGCGTCCTCACCGACGCTGAATGGATGGGCTTCGCGCGTTCCGACAGGGCGCGGCAATTAGGGACGAGTTGTAATTAGGCGAGGCTAAATTCGCTCATTAGGATCGAGCGGCTTTCGAAACATCTGTCGACATCGCCAAAATGCAGGTACGGCGTGGGGGTTGGAGAGGGAAGAGTTGGTCTGGTCACTGGGAAGTATACGGTTTCAACTGAACCGAACGCAAAGTAAAACGAACGGCCTAAATCACGCAAATCGTAGGGTATACTTAGTATAGAATGAAAATGCAGCCTACTCCTGGGAAGTTAGAGGTGTCCTCTTGAGACACCCTCATGTGAGGGAGAAGTTAATGGAGGGGGGAGGAAGGCAAACGCTTACCTCTTTAAAACCTTCAAGGGCAACTTTGTTGTGAAAAACAAAACAAATACAACATACTCCAGCTTTTCTAAGGAAAAAAGTAGTTAGTTTTGGATGAAATGGCATGCCAACAAGATAGATATGACTTTCGACCGACTAGATCATAAAATGTTTCTAGAAAATTAAATTGTTGTGGAATTCGAGGGCATTACTTAGCTTTAGATGAAAGTTACGTGAGCTGTCGGCAGCAAATTCTTAAAATAAACGGGTGTCCTTCAGTGCTAAAACGAGTTCGGACAAGGGTACCGTAAGCTAGGGTCTTAGGGCCATTGCTTTTAACCTGTTTCTTAACGATATAGTAAATACGTAAGTTATGCCGATGAAAGTTGTTTATTTATTTAAGGCATAACATTGATAGGTTCGTTTTTGATGGAAACATTTGCCTAGAAAAGCTTAATAGGTAAACTGCCCGATATTCTATAGAAATATTTGAAAAAAAGTCACAATGTGCCATGCCACGGCAAAGTTAATATTGGACCAATTAAGGTTTAACTTGTAACCGCTGTTACATACTAAGCCGCTTTTTTAAAAACATAAAGTATTGAAAAAAAAAAAGAATATTTCAACTATGAGTTTGCTACAATGTACGGGGTATCGCTTAAAACCTACCACACTCACCACAGATTTTGAAACTAAGTGTAAAAGAAAAAAAATAATATTATACATGGACTGCCCAGCGCCTGACCCTTGAGAGTGCTGCTTCCTCGAGCCAATCATGGGCTTCAGGTAATTCAGCACACGCTTTCAACTGCACTCAATTAAAAAAAAAAAATTGTTTTGACGCTTTAATTAAGAAAACAATATGAAATTTATTCTCCTCTTGCAGATGAGTCTTTTATCTTTATATCACTGATTGTTGTTTCTGCATTATAAGTTTGTATTTTATCTGTCAGCCGATCTGCCAGAAGGGGGCAAAGGACTTCGTCAAACTGTCTTTTTCCTGCCTCCATCGCCCATTTGTTACACGAGAGGAAAAAAGTGAATTTATTTATTTATTTATTTATTTATTTACCCTCAAGGCCCCGAAGGGCATTACAGAGGGGAGTGGGGGGGGGGGGGGGGGATTAGGTGACAGGGTACAGTTGTTGATACATGAAATATGATACAGTAATTAATGCACGCTTGCTTAGACACTTCAAAAATATTTACACAATGTTATAACAGTAATAACAACTAGAAAATGGTTAATGAAAACTAACAAACAAGGCATTTTTAAAATCAATAATATTGGTTATGGAGGCTATGTCAGCGGAAAGGCGATTCCAATCGGAGCTAGTACGAGGAACGAAGGAGTTATAATAAGTGTTAGTTTTGTAATTGGGGATACCGACTTTGTACTGGTGATCTACGCGGGATGAAACATAAGTAGGTGGCGTTAGAAGTTCATGGCGCATGAAAGGGTTATTATGGTAGATCTTGTGAAATAAAGTGAGGCGAAAAATGCGTCTACGGATCATTAGTGTGGGTAAACCAAGGGTATTTTTCATTGAAGTAACACTGGATGTACGATGGTAATTACAGAGTATGAAACGTGCTGCACGATTTTGAACCGATTCCAATGTTTCAATGATAGTATTATGACCGGGGTCCCAGATAGAACATGCATATTCAAGTTTAGTACGTACTAAAGTAGTATATAAAAGAAGTTTTAGTGACACTGGTGACTGTGAAAAATTTCGTTTGAGATATCCAAGCATGCGATTGGCGTTGTTAGTTACGTAGTTAGTGTGAGTTACCCAGGAAAGATCAGAAGTTATGTAAACACCTAAGTATTTGTAAGAGGACACAGACTGCAGCGGAGTGTCGTCAATGTAGTAATTCGAGCATATGTTAGTATGACGGGAAACTCTCATGGATTTACATTTATTAAGATTGAGTTGCATCAACCACTTGTCGCACCAGTCAGGTACAGAGTTAAGATCAGATTGGAGAACAGAGGTGTCAGAGTTATTTGTTATTTCTCTATATAGTACACAATCGTCAGCAAATAAACTAATATTAGAGGAGACACATTCAGAGAGATCATTAATGTAGATGAGGAAAAGTAGCGGTCCTAAAACAGAACCCTGGGGAACTCCAGATCCTACGGGAGTCAGTGAAGAGTTAGTACCATTGGCATGCACAAATTGAGAACGGTTGGTTAAAAACGATTCTATCCAGCGTAGCACGTTCGGATCAATATTGAGGTTGCTAAGTTTTAATAGGAGTAGCCGGTGAGAAACTTATCGAAGGCCTTAGAGAAATCAAGGAAAACGCAGTCTATCTGGGAGCCACGGTCAAGGACAGAATGAAGCTTATTAGTGAAAAGTAGAAGCTGTGTTTCGCAGGAAAATGATTTGCGGAAGCCGTGTTGAGTAGGGTGAAAAAAAGAATTCGATTCTAGGAAACATGCGAGGTTAGAATATATGATATGTTCGAGTATCTTACAAGGAATGGATGTTAGAGAAATTGGCCGGAAGTTATTCGGTGAGGAGTGGTTGCCACTTTTATGAATTGGAGTCACCTTTCCAACTTTCCAGTCTTCGGGAAGGCAGCCTTCCTCCAATGATTGCTTAAAGATCATTGATAGTATAGCTGATGAATACGATTTCGTGTTCTTTAAGAATTTAGAGTTAATATTGTCAATACCGGATGAAGAGGAGAGCTTCAGGTTATTAATTATTGCAGCTATACCGTCGTAAGATATTAATATTGGATTCATTGGAAAAAAGTCAGGGCAATTAAAGTTGGGGTACACAGAAACATCGGTGCAAGAAAAAGATTGAATAAATATATCGTTTAGCAATGATGCACACTCATCATGGCCTACTGGTTCCCCATCTGTGTTTGTAAGCTTTAGGTCACCGTGGTTATCATTAGGTTTGATTAAGTTCCAAAAGTGGCGAACATTTGTAGATAAAATTGTGGGCAACGTGTTAGTAAAAAAATTGCGTTTTACTTCTAATACTGCACGTTTATATTCCTGCTCGGCGTAATGATAGGCGTTAAAATGACTCTCTTGTTTTGAAAGTTTGGCTACACGAAAGAGGCGTTTCTTTTTATTTGAAAGTCGTTTAAGTCTGGTGTTGTACCAAGGGGAATTACTTTTGGATGATAATGTGCGAACAGGAATATATGTGCTTATTAGATAGTTCACTTTGTTTCGGAACAGACACCAATTTTCATCTACAGACCGTTCAAAAAAATTTTCCACAAAGTAACTCAGAAATTCACACAATTCAATATTTATAGCCGTAAAATTAGCTTTTCCGTAATCACGAATCGTTTTAACTATTTTCGGGGAATGACTTGTGGTTATATTTAAGGTGAAATGCAGCAATAAATGATCACTAAAACCAGGCAGATAGGTAATAGGAGAAACAAGGTCGGCGAAGGTTGACAATACAAGATCTAGCACTGAGGCACAGGAGGGCGTAATTCTGGTGGGGCGAGACACTAGCTGAGAGAAATTGTAGTCCGAACATAAATTGAGGAATTTGTCACTGTCAGACGAAAAAGGACTTGAGTAAGCGGTTTCCGCCGACCACACAATATTTGGATAGTTAAAATCACCCAGAAGGATGACGTTTGGTGTGGGAGATCGCAAAGTCACTGTACTGATTACGTCATGAAGTTTGTTCAGAAAGCTATCGTCACTTGAGGGAGGGCGGTAACAGGCACCCAAGATATATTTTTTGTGATTCACGGAAAGGCAAACAAAGACTGTTTCGAGATCACTTGCAACATTCAAATGAAGGGAATCTATATGTTCGGCGACTGCAATCAACACACCTCCGCCTTGGCGAGCTTCCCTATCAGTGCGATAAATTTTGAACCGTTTGTTAGTAGTTAGGATTTCGTTGTCATGAATTTTGCTAGAGAGCCACGTTTCTGTCAAAACTACAACATCAGCCCCGGTGGAGTCAATGGCAGAGCATAGATCATCGCGATTTCGCATGACACTTCGGATATTAGTAAACAGAACAGTAATTATTTCGGGCGCGAAAGAAGAACCACTACCCCTCGCACTATGTTAGGGCAAGGCAGATCGGGCAGATGCTGCGTGGGCATTTAAGTTTGGTGCCACGTTATTTTGCAACGATGAGGAAGGTTGATTATTATCGCCTCCAGGGCTTCTTGTATTTGAATTGCTCTTGCCCGGCCTTCTGTCATTTCCAACTTCATACACCCTGTCGTTCGCATTTTCATACATGAAACATTTATTGTTCACGTAAAGCTTATTGTAGCGCAGTTGGAAGACGCTCTTTTGTAATTTTCCAAAATCAAAAAGTTTCTGTCTTGCTAGGCGCGTAGCCGGAGAAAAATCTTCATTAGCCGTTATACCGCAGGCTTTAAGCTTAGGTCGTGATTGCAAAATTGTTTGTTTTGTTTTGAAAGAAGAGAACTTGACAATCAGTGGCCTGCATCCTCCGACTGCGTACGAGCCAAGCCTGTGAGCACGTTCAACGCATTCGTCAGAAACTTGCAGACTAAGTGAAGTAGATAACCTATCTAATATTTTTACTTTAGACTGTTCCCAAGATTCAGAGGTGGAATCTTCAATACCGTGAAAGATAATATTGCTCCTTCTTGAGCGGTCCTCAATATCGTTCAGGCGCTCGTGCAGTCTTTGGTTGTCCTTAATAACAGACTGCATTAATCCCTCGGCAGCCAAGAGTTCTTCCCGGGTTGCATCGAAAGTTGCTACTTTGCACTCAACGCCTTCGAGCCGATTTTGGATGTCGGTAACCTTTAGTTCGACGGATTCTTGCTTACTTTTTAACTCGTTAATAGACTTAATTAGGTTAGCTTGGCCTTGGTCAATCTTGACCGTACGTTCATTTACATCTTGCAAGAGTTTGAACATGTCGTTAAACTGCTTGGCCTGATCGATAGACATAGGTCCCGGATTCGCCTCGACGTCACCGGAGCGTAACAAGAGAAGTTTTAATGTATCAGCGGAATGTAGGACAAGCATCGCATGTGTACACAACCAGTAATACAAAGAGCACAAAGAACAAAAAAAGCGCGATGACCGTGGGCACGGTAACTCGAGAAGCCATAGGTTATTACTTCGTCTAGAGTGTATAGAATACTGATATCTTACCTGTACGTAGAACAAGAAAGGGTTCGTCAGCGACATCGCCGCTAACGAGTCACCGTGCCCACTGGCGTAGGCCACACCATGCGCTGCTTTTGTAGCAATTGACGTGGCTGTCGCAGTCGATGGTCGCGCTAGGTGCGGCTGAATCGACGCAGGATTCTCGATGAGGGCGACGTCCTCCAAGGCCGGTGAAGATGGGCACTTCCATAGGATGACGCTTGATATCCGAGCTCTGTCAGCGCTGGTGCAGGCACGCGTTCCGTGATGTGATGGCGAGACAACGAACGCCGGTATCAAAGGCGCTCTCATTAACGAAGCTTGCGGTACCGTAGATAGGCCCAGAGCCAAGGATCCTTGGGGAAGCAGCGTCGACAGCAAGCATGCCTGTACGTAGAACAAGAAAGGGTTCGTCAGCGACATCGCCGCTAACGAGTCACCGTGCCATTGATTTGAATATGGGCAAGGCTTCACCCGTGATGTCACATCCGTCCGTGACGTCAGATATTTCTGCAGAATCTCCCCTTCCCTCTTTTCTAACCAAATGCCTCTCTCCTCCTCCCCCCCCCCCCCCCCCTCACCCACCCAAAGTTTGTATAAATCCGCATCTGTCCACATATCTGCTGTCGACGTAAGTGACCAGAAACGTTGGTGTGGTCGGCTTTCTACAGTAGGCCAGGCGCTCACTGTGACACCTTAAGAGAAATTAATTGCGCCTTCATGGAAGGAAATAAGAGTAATGTCAAACTGTTAACGTTGCTGGTGTTGGCTGCATGCTTCCACCGTGCTTTTTACGCGTATCATATATGTACCTTGTTCTGAACTGACGATAAGTAGCCAGGATATATAACGTCTTGTGTCGTCACGGCGAGTCAAATACTGGTGATGACGTCCTGGAGAGAAAGCATAAGAGGGCGCCACCGAATTATCTTGGCGGGCATACCACATGTATACAAGATCAGTGTAAGGTTGCCTTTAGCATGCTTCTCTTTGCAATCGGCGCATCAGTCTGTTTTTGAATCGGAAACACATGCAACTTACTGAGAATCGTGGAAATGTGGTCTAACTAAGTGAAATGGAGACTGTGTGATAATTTCACTTATTAAGTAAAATTTGCGCTGTGTGCAACATGTTCTGCCCAAGCGAAGCCCTTTTTGAAGCCCCATGCGTGAGGTCCTGCACTTCTAAGACGCTGGCCAGATATCTCGATATAACTTATATCAATGTTGATATCATGGGCCTCTGCAAGCATACTTACTCTACTTACTGCACTTACTCCACACGCTTGCTCCACTGCGGAGCTAAATTAATCATGACGCTCAATGTGTACGAAAGTATAAATATTTTATTTGTTTTGAGTTTATTAGAAAAATACAAGGATGTTTACTCAAAGTGACACATGAATTAACTGTAAAATGAGTCAAATATTTGCTTAGTGATAGTTCGGCGATGAAATATATGTTCCTGCTGGATGAATTATTTCAGCAAATGCATAAATATTCGTTATTCGAACATAGATGTAAACGCAACTAAGCGGTGGGTAACGTTTGTCTTTACTTCGGACGATGACGCTATACCGCCTTCAAAGCCATTCGTACCTGGATTGTCTGGCAGGTTTTTTGAAGAGGCAAACAGATTACAAGAGCGGGGGCATGGCATCAACACCGATGTAAATGAGAGGTCAGAGTATTCGAATTGTTTTTTTTTTGTTTTTTTTGTTTAGAGGAGACATTCGGTCTGAGACCATCTCAGCACTTCTCTTCACACCAACAAGGTGAGGTGGGGTTCGATTTTCCGCTTATGCCTCTCGCTTCTGGAAAAAGCGAGCCCATTAGGGGCCGAAAGTTCTGGTGGAAGCTCGGCATGGGTGGCATTGGGGGGGGGGGGGGGGGCCGGGGGGGGGGGTTAGGGGGGTACTCGTAGACGAGCCTGCGGCTCGGGCAACTCGGAGACGAAATTCGAGACATAGTGAGCGGAGACTCGGAAAACAGCAGAGGCTGAACCGTCACGTGGAGCTCAGGAAGTGCGCCGGTAGCGGGCCAAGTGCTGGGGAAGCCTTCGAAGAAATGTGTGCGTGGACGTGTGGTCGGGTGGTCCGCCGGGACCACCCGTACCCGTGGACCACCCGTCCACAGGAGAAAAGTGTGTGGTTGGATGGATGTGCGGCCGGGTGTACCACCCATCCGAAGGGGAAAAGAGTGGTCCACCCGGACCACCCTTTTCCCCTTGGACATCACTCGCAAGAGATCGGCACTCCCCGCCTACTGACATACGAGACTCTCCCTCGCCCTATAGCCCGGAATGGTCTTTTATTTCCGTTTATATGTACTTCCAGTGTGTTTCGCATTGCCGCCCACGTACCGGCCGGGTGAATTGTTGCGTGAGACCGATAGTGAACGTGTTTCGGTACTTGTGAGCCTGTTCTAATACTTCTAGCATTTTGCGACGCGCGTCGCTGAGTGAGCGCGTGCGCCGCCGAATGGTATTACAGTATTTGAAAAAAAAAAAAAAAAATCCGTAGCCGAATGGTTACTGCGCTTGGCTTTCGCGCGGCAGTCCCAGGTTCGATTCCTGGGAGCGGCCTATTATTTTTTTTTTATTCTTTGAACTTAGCGTTCTCGTGAGCTCGAGAATCTTGTCCTCTGATAGAGGTACGAATTTTCTACGCGCCGAACATTGTACGCCGAATTTTCCACAAACCCACGCGGGTACAAAAGGTTCTTCGCGTGGCGGTCCGAGGCCAGTCTCGATCCAGAGCTCGATCCTGCTGCTTCGCCGATACCAACGCCTGCGACTTTAACGTTCGTCTGTTTTGTTTTGGGCACAAGTTCGCCTCATTAAACGTTCAGTTTCTCTAGTCATTAGCCGCCTCATCATTTGTCATTCGAGGCAATATTCAAATTTCGATTTCAATTAAACTCTCCTTGGTTTCGGCAAGCCTGTGTTGTATCCCATTATTGGCATGACTTCGCCGGGGCCAAGGCCCAATCGCCTGATCAGCAGTTATTTCTTTTTAGTAGAAAAAGTTCTGAAGTCTTAAAAATGTAGCAGAAGAAGTTGTGACATCACCACATACGAATTCAACAGTCGCTTCTGAGTGTAGTGTTTTTGCGCTCCATGTGACCATCGAATCAACAAAGATTTCGAAAAGTAATAAAACAAGAAAATAATCCGCTCCTTATTTTTGGAAATAGATAGGCGAAATAAAGTTATTGCTCACTGTCCTCTTTATCTGCTAGCACACTTGAGTTAGCACAGATTATGTATGTGGTGAGTTCAGCACTCAGCGCCAGTTTACGGCTCCTTGGCTACGTAGCCATCAAATCCCATTATTATTCCCCCTGAAAACTGATTTGTTGAGGTATGTGATATTTGCTGAACGTATTAGGAAAATGAGACTTGTGTTATTTCCATTGATCATGAAGCCTTTTGTACGAAGAAGGGACACCATTTTGAGATTGCTCGATTTTCGCCATCGGCGAATATATATCAAGTCGTATAAGACACACTCCCACACTCAGCGATCAAACGTTCCGACTAAGGGAAATCCTGTTAACGGATCCAAACAAATCACAACCTCCCCCCTCTCTCTATCGCGGGCAACAAACCGATCTCTCAAGTACAGTACTATACAGACCAAAAGGAGCCAATTAATCTTCCCCGGAGGAGCAGACGACCCAAGAGCGCCTGATTAATGGTCAAGACGATCGTCTGCGACGAAACAGGAAGCTCAGTCGATTTGGGACGGCCCCGGCGCGAGCGACATCAATGATTCCATTGCTGCCGCCAGGGGATGTTGCCCGCCATTAGTCACGCGCTGAGTGGATGGCCTCACTCTTGAGTTGTCGTGGAGGGAAGCTTGGCTGGATGGGGGGCAGCACGGGATGAAAAAAGAATCGAACTGTAGGATGAGCAGCCGGTCATTTCAGCGACTGGATACCCCAGGGAGCCGAGATTCGTACACATCGGTGTCTCCGGTGCCTAGTAGAGTAACTGTATACTAATCTGGTTTCTAGCCAATGAAAGAGCTTCGGAAGAGGTGGTTGTTACTAGGGCACAACGGCTTTTAAAGTGCTAATTTTTCTCATATTAATCGAGAGGGTACAACATACAGAAACGAATTCTGACAATTATATGCTTCCATGTGTTTGTCCGTAAAGAATGCTTCTTTAATTTGTCCTCCTTCCGGTTTTGTGTAACGAGATAAACGGAAGACAAAGAGCGTTACAAGCATGTCAAATACGCCTTGTGAAAGGCACTTTTTTATCCTTGAGGTTTATATGGCAACTGATAGCAAAATAGCATGTTTTACGTGAGGAACTGCACGTGAAAGATCCCGGTGCTATCGAGTTGCATTTATTATATCTTCAAAGAGTGTTAGCCGCTTGCTTGCTAAATACTAGTGTAAACTATGGCTGGGCATTTGATCAATGAGCGTTTTAGGTGCAGAATATTTTTAATTGGTTAATATTTACAAAAAGGAAAAGGTAAAACTTGAACGCTTTCAAGACACGGACGTGGAGGAGTGCGCTTGTTTGAAGGCAAACTTGAAATGAAATTCTGACCTAAAGTAACCTGTTGAGGCGAGATATGTAACTCCTAACAAGTGAATAAGGTTGTACCTGGCCTAGCCACTTGTGAACAATTAAAGGACTTCGCTATTGACAGAGCATATCAACGAACCCCTCTGCTTCTGCGGCTGAGTGAATAATTTGTGAGTATGCGCGTCTTGACTGTTCTCAACTACACATGAAGGTTGATTTAAAATCCAATATTGTTCATTGTGCCGTTTATCACAGATTCAGCAAAGGCAAAAAAAGAAGTAATTTTGTCTTTTTTAATTATTATGTATGGCAATGAGCTAAACCAATTAACCCGCCTTATTAATTGATTAACGAGCGGCGACTAAACGGGTAAAATATTTAATCGACGCCCAGCCTTATTTTGTGCAAGTCCCATGAAAAAACGTTTAAGAAATTCAAAGTTTGAGCAGAAACCATCAAATTCACCTTACCGGAAAGTACTGAGTTTGATATATTTTGACCATCCATCATGAGCATCCCTTCTTTTAAGTTCGATCTTGTCCGATATCCTGGCGTTAATGTATTCAAGACGACACGTAGGTGCACCCCATAGGTAAAAACTGCGAGAAAGTTGTGCGAAAGACCAGTGGCTGAAACATAAAACAATCAAAAAAATTTTTTTTTAATAATCTAAAAACAAAATGAAGAAAGTAGAGTAAAGATTGTTTTTTTATGGGCTTATATTACACAGGGAATGTACTAATAAATAAGACAGAGTTTACGAGGTTCAATACACGGTTGCAAATATACCAATCTTTAAAAAGAAAGATTAAGACAGACTTAAAGGGATACGATCAAGAAAGTACCAAGTACTACGTGCGAATTCCGGTAAGGCAGCGAGTGCATAAGATGTGAAG